AGAGAGAGAGAGAGAGAGAGAGAGAGAGAGAGAGAGAGAGAGAGAGAGAGAGAGAGAGAGAGATTTTCCATCAAAATGGCTCCAGGATGTGTGTAATAGATCAGCACGTTTGGTTTTGCAGTATAGATCTGTAACTGTTTTTGGGCACCGCGCGCAGGTTGCAAGGGGAGGTCAGCCTACTGACCTAGGGGAGTTGAAATGAGTGGCTGACTTCTGATAAATAGTGTGGTGATTCTGGTGAACAAATAAAAGCTAGCACGGCGGTTCTTCATGCTCAGAATTCGGCACACAAACCTGAAAATTCTCAAGAAAACCAGTGGTGTAGTAGATTTGGTGTTTGTCTTTTTGGAAACATGGTTGAAAAACAGAAAACAACATTCTAAGATGGGAAAAAAACTGGCACCAAAAGTTAGCGCTACCAGTAGGCAAAGAACTTTATGGTCCAACTGTAACGGATGTCCCGCACGCGGGGAAGTCTTATGAGGGGATTACGGTGCGTTAGTTACCCCAGCGCTGGCGCGTCGTCCCTCCAGTGGGGTGTGGCGCCAGCGGTGCACTGCTAAGTGATGCAGCGCTGCGGCTCGAAGTTGCTGGCGCTGGAAGCCATAGCCAAGGTCACCATGCCTGGTGCTTCCAGTGGCTCATGTGAGCTATGTCCTCGCATTGAGGACACGGGCGCGACTGGCACACCTTGACCGTAAGGGTAAGGCTGTACGCCGGTGGGAGTGCGGCGGGTTGCGGATATCATTGGTTACTATTTGGAGTGCCGCCACCCTTCTTTACATGCTAATTGTAACCAAGATCGGCGCGCTTTTTGTGCGTTTGGTCTTCAGAAACGGAGCTCTACGAACTACACCATCGCCTGTGGGTTTTGCCGCTTTGCTGTACGACAGCTTCTCATCGATTGGCCGGGGGAGGGAGTTTGTCGGAGCATGACGAAGGCTCTGCCTGCGGTTGGCTTCCCGTACGTCAGACGGTGATGGGCAATTGTACCAGGCGTTTGTCTGCTGACCTTCAGCAGTAATCCATTTGTTACCCCTTATCATCGAGTGCGCCCTGTTAGGCGAACTATTCAATCTTTTGTTGGATGTGATTTAGATAGATTGGTTGGACGTCGTTCTAGGCGTCTGACATGTTGTTTTTCTCCATTTTTATCTAGTTGGTTGACTTCTTTGGTTAAGACAGTTTTTGTTGGTTGGTGGTTTGTGTTGGTTTGCATCCATGATTTTGGAAGTTGTGGGAACGAATAGTTATTCCTTGTACGAAACCGTTTCACTTTCGAGTCTTTCGAGGGACTGTGTAACAATATGTTGCCGGCAGGGGCTCTCCCTACCTTGACTTTTTCTGATTTTTTTCTATGACATTGTGAGTTTGTGAGTCTGTGAAACTCTGTGAAACTCTGTAGTTGTAAATTCGTGAGTTGCAGTATATATGTACTAGTACGTGGGGTGAGTTGGACTGCATGATGCTGTGAAATAGCAAGTGATAGGAGTAGATAAGTGTGGTGGATCCTTGGTGGATTCTCGGTGTTTTTCAGGATACTGATATAGGATAGGTGTGCAGATGATCATTTACAAACATAGGGGCTCATTAGCACTCCTTGTGGCGTCCTCGGGGCCGAAGGACGTTTCCTTCGGGGTTTTGAAGGAAATCTCCGCCGTCGTTCCACCTATCCTCGGGGTGGTCTCCCGAGGATGATTCCCTTTGCCCCCCCCTTGGCCATTTTCATAATATTATAGTCAGCCGCGGGGGGGGAAGGGAAATTCCTTGGTCCATTGGGTGATGTCCGTCTCGCGACGGTGTGGTCCAGCTGCCGAAGGCGGGAAAATTTGAACGGCGCTGGCGATGGGAGAAAAAGAAAAGTGACTGCTGCACAGTTTGGAATTCGCAGGAATAACAGTCCACCGCAAGCTTGGGCGAAGACCGGTTCGAAACTGCAAGAAAAACAGTAAGGTGGGAGCACGACGGCCTACCGGTTCAGTAATTGGCAAAAACGGGAGGTGGCGGTCGTGGTTTTTTTTTTTTTTTTTTTTTTTTTTTTTCT